AATTTGGGGTAGGCCACTATTGCATGGTGATTGGTTCAGATGTACATGTGTTTAAGTTATGTGATATTCCACGTACTGAATAAACTGAATTCTAGCCAACAGCTTTTCTGTTTTATTTGTCCATTTATGATAAGTATCCAAAAATCTAGTCTTTTTGTACGATATATGTAATTATGTAACATATGTTAATATTTGATAGTATTTTATGTATAAAATAATAATTTCTGACACGAGATTTTAATTTAAACGTGCAATTTTTCCTGTAACAGCTGTAGCAACTGTCGCTTTTGGAGAAGGGGAAATTCGCGGCCTCTCCCCTCTCTCCGCAAAAGAGCCCGTGGCGCGAAGGCAACCTTCCCCAAAGACGACAGTTGCAAAGGTTGCTACAGGTAATCTCGTACATTAAATTTAAAATAACTTGTGAGAAAAATAGTGTGAGAATGGTTCCATTTAAAAAATAAAAGATGATTAAATTTCTCGAAAATTAAAAATATTTTGAACAATATCTCTACCGCACATTACTCCACGATTCCACATTGTTGATCGAAAACTGCATTTCGGGAACCGTTTAGAAGTTATGGGGGTGGCCCATAGTTGGTGGGACATTCTGTATACATGTGGATTAGTGAATTCAATTTCGATGCATTCATTTCAGAACATCTTGAATCACTGACATCATTTAATGCAATACATCAAGTAGAATCGAATGACCCTTGTCATGGGTGAAATTTTTGGATTTTAAAAGCTTCTGAATTTTTTCAAAACAAAAATAGTGATATTTCCTACACAAGCAAACCTTATAGAGTAGTTTATAGCAAAGTAAAAATAAGACATTTAACAATATCTGTATTCGTTCGTCAACTTCAGAACAGAGAATTAGTTAAAAAATTATGGCTTCTAGAGTACGATTTATTTAGTCGTGTTAATGACACATCAGCTGTTGTGGTTTCAACTAATGAGTTACATGTCGCTACAGTGACGCCACTATGGGAACGTCCATATTGCAGAACGCTGGAATGCCTAGCTAATAGTTCGACCTAAACCGCAGATGCTAAACTAGAAGCGAAAAGTTTACTCAACAAAATGTACTCGATTGAAGTTGTCCTTTTAAGAAAAGTTTGGAGTGATATTTTGTTACGATTTCATCAAATTAATTTGTTTACAAAGAGCTGATCAGACTTCGGACGTTGTAAAAACGCTGCTCGACACATTGTTTTGTAGACTAAAAAAACAAGGGATGGGTTTGATGAATTCAAGACTGCTGCAAAATTAAAATATCCCGAAATTGATTACAAAGAATCTTCGAAAAGTAGGCTTGAGAAGTTCGCGAATAACATTTTGATGGTAAAACAAAATTTTTGTCTCTTTCGGGAAAGGACAAATTTAAAGTAGAGGCATACATTCCTATAATAGATATTTAAATAATTCAGTTAGATTATCGCTAGAAAAAGTATGAATAAATAATTATCGATTTGGCTTCCTTTTTACATTGGCAACTATCGAATCAAACAACTTCGAGATAGCTTCAAAAAGTACGGCTTTTTTTTTTTTTTTTTTTTTTGTTGCGATGTAAATGAAAGAGATCTGGAATCTGAAACTGTATTTATCAATAATGAACGATTTTAATGAAAACTATAATATAAATTACGTATATGCAATGCTTAAATCTGGTAAGCTTCTTGAAGTTTTTCCAATTGAAGAAATTTCTTGCCGAATGTGTCTTTCATTAATGGCAACAGTGTGCGTGTGTTCATTTGAATAAGATGATTTGACATCAATTGCACAGTGGTCTGCAACACCAAGAAGGAGGCCTGCTATTGCAATGAAATTTATTCCACAGATGAGGAATATCACATTATACAAATGATTAGAATTACACAACTGCACCTGCATTCTGACCTTGAGTCTACAGTACGATGTGAAACAACCACGCGCAGACATCAGATCCTAGAGACATCGTGGCATGGATTCAAAGAGAGCCTGAATATGCTGCTGGGGAACACATTGCCGCGTCGTTTCTATGCGTCGACAAGTGATCACACAGCATCGATAATGTCTGCAGGGAGAGCAGAACGAACCGAACGAACACTATAGCCGACCGATCATTTCCCAGATATGTTCGATGGGCGATATGTCAAGTGAACGCGAAGGCCAGGGACGCAGTGGTCCCGTCGTACTTCGTAGAAAGCGTGCACATTCCTCGCCACATGCGTTCAGGCATTGTTCTGCTGAAATATGGCATATGGTGCTGCTTGCAGGAGGGACAGTACCATGGGTTCTAAAACCTCCTTGATGTAGCAGTTGCTCTTCAGATTACCTTCAATAAATATTAAAAATGTATGTGTCTCAATAAATATACGAACTATAAGCTCTCCAGATGACAAGTAGATGGAATCGTAAACGAGAACATTGTGTTTGTTAACAGGCGATTCTAAACATTATGTACAAATGTGTTAAGTGTTTTACGTCAGGATCTCACAAATGGTTGATTGTATCCTGACTATAACACATTTTCACGCTGTGAAGGCACAAACTCCGCCCGTTGACCCATGACAGCGCGTCTGGTGTCCGGAATTTTTGTCAGTTCGAGTTGCTGAAACAGAGTAGCTCAGACATCCCTGTAAGCTTTGAAGTTACGTCTCTCTTCACCATGATCCCGGTCGAAGAGGAAGAAGATATCAGAAAAAATTGGAAGCAAGGGGGCTCCCTACAGACTTTTGCCTGGCATCTACATTCTTTCAATTTCGGAGGAAGTTTTACGCCCAGGTGGAGGGAACGTCTATGGGTTCACCCGTCACCGACTGCCGCCAATATCTTCATGGAGGCATTTGCATTTGTTTGCCGAGGTTATGTCTCCCCTCCCCCCGGCCCGCACCATGCCGTCCGATTCCTGAACTGTCCGACCCCGGACCGCCCCCGTCAGTCCGTTTTTTTCCCCTCTTCAGTAACCCTGGAGGGGCGGGAATTTATTTGCCTTAGGAATACATAATACCTGCAGCCGATGAGGCTTTTGCAGGTTATAAGGGTAGTAACTTAAACAAAATAACTTATGCTAACTTAAAAACTAATTGAATTTCCTCTTTGGGAATTGTTTGTTTTTTATTTAGTTGTAAAGATTTTCGGGTTAGTTCTCTATAAGGTTCTTGTTTCTTCATTTTTTTGTTCATTTTCACACGCATTCATTCTTGGTTATTTACAATCCCATTCATTCATTCATTTATACCCACAGCACTATTTACACTGCATTTTGATCGCCACGGCGCCGACTTTACTCAAGCGTCCGTGGCGCCGCGACGTCTTCATTATCAGGCGACGCTGGCCTGGCGGAGCGCGTTTCCGCGCCGCCCGCGCGGCTTTCGGCATCCGTAAGCGGCGACCACCTCCCACGCACTTGCTGCTCCCCCGCGTCGCAGAGCTCAGAGAGCTTGTGCGGGGGCAGTGCGCGGAAGGTGAAGGCGACGTGCTGTGGGCCCTTTCTTCTGTGAAAGGCCCTGTGCACGCCGCTGTTCGCCGCCTTGCCGGTCTCGCGCAGGATGCGCGGAGCGCACGGCCTCAGCGCCCTTGCGAGCGCCGTCTCCGCCCTCTTTTGTAGCTCCGCCGGGAACTGGTTGCGAACGCCTAGGATTCTGAAGATGTCAGCGTTTTTGGGTTGCCGGTCAGGTCTGGTAAGAGGCAAGTGCGGGCGCGCCGGCTCTGTTCTCTGCTACCCGGATGGGGAGCAGAGTGGAGGGAGAAGCTGCCGCGAATACCTCACAAGCGTACGCCCACAAGGGATGCTCGCAAGCTGTGAATAAGCGGCGCTTTAGATGAATTGCTAAGTCGGGAGAACGGAGAAGAGGTTTCAAAAGGAGGGTGCGTGTTTTAATTTTGGCAGCGAGATACCGACCGTGCGCATGCCAGCGAAGGCCGCTGTCAAGTAGCACGCCCAAATATCTCGCTTCGCTCCGCCAAGGAAGATGCGTGCCAGCCAAGTTCACCGTTTCATTGGGGTTAGCCCTCTTACGAGTGAAGTTGATTGCGACGCATTTCTCGAGGTTGAGAGCGAGGCGTTTCCGACTTAGCCATTCAGGAAAGGCGGCGAGACAATCACTTAAGTATTTAACTGACTGCCTTCCGTTCGCCGATTTCGCGTAGTACGCGAAATCGTCCGCGAACATCAGGAGCCCACAGCGTTGAATACTAGTTCTTGTTTCAGCAGGAAGCGGCGCGTCATTCACGTATAAGCCGAAGAGGGTAGGAGAAAGAACACTCTCCTGAGGCACGCCTGCCTCGGCTCGTCTGAGGGACGAGTATACGTTATTGACGCGCACTTTGAACTGCCTGTCAGAGAGAAAACTCGCGATCAGTCTGACGTAGCAATCGTTCACTCCCGCCTCCGCAAGGCACTCGAGCAAGCCCGTATGCCACACAGAGTCGAAAGCCGACCGCATATCCAGAAAGACCGCTGGCAGGTTCTACCGTCTCTCGAGGGCGAGGCCGATCTCCGTGGAAAGCCGCGTAAGCTGCTGCGCGGAGCTGTGACCAGCTCGAGAGCCAAATTGTTCATCTCTGAGAAGATTGAGACGACGTATTTCCTGTTGCAAACGTGACAGGATCAGTCTCTCAAACGTCTTCCCTACGATGGAGAGTAGACTAATAGGTCTGTGCGAGAAGCGCATCAATTCCAGCCGGATCTAAGGTTTGGTCTGGGCAGTAGACGGATACGACTAGTAGTCGGCCTTTTCCTACCCAGACGTACGCCTCGACCGCCTCTAGAGACGCCAGAGCAATAGCAGGGATTTCGGCTTCAAGCTGCGGCAGTTCTCGGCGCAGCGCGATTGCTACTCCGCCACTTGGCCTACCAGCGCTGTCTCGGCGATAAACAGCAAATCCCGGAGTTTGCATTCGTGTTCATCACTGAGCCACGTTTCTTGTAAAGCCAAGATATCGAGTTGCAGTTCTTCTGCAAAATGTTCAATTTGCTGGGCTTTGAAGAGTGCACTTCGCGCGTTCCAAGTGCAAGCGCGGAGAGGTGCTATTCGCTTGTCTACGTTCTGATTTTGTCTAGACATTGTCGCGTATCATGTTTAGGATTCGCTCAAACATCACTAAGAACTGGCTCTTAGTGACTGTTTGGGCAGCAGCTGCGGCTGCAGTGGGCCGCGCTCCGGCCGCCCACGCCGGTGCGTTGGCCTCTGAGGAGCGCGCTGCGCGACCTCGTTCCAGGCCGGCCCGCCGCTAGCTGCCGACCGAGGCGCCGAGTTTCTATTAGGAACTACTTGACGTGAGGGTCCCTCGGTTCCTATTGCACGCGCGTCTGACGGACGCGGTGGCAACGTGCAATGGCTGCATCCTGTGAAGGATGCAGCGTGATGCTGCTTACAATTGCAGCAGACGGGCTTTAAATTAAAATTTCCGCGTTTTCGTCAGTCCGTTCCCCCGCCTCCTTTCACCATTCCACCTGATCGCGCCCGATTGGCCGTCACCTTGTCCTATCAGAGCCTGGCCCACCTACTATATAAACCGGAGTGTCCAACATTCTCGCGCATCAAAAATGGAATAAATTGTTATCAGGTCTCAAACCTGAGGATAATTCACTGTGGAAAATCTCTCGCATGCTTTCTAGGACTCCAATAACAGTGCCCCCTCTTCAGACTACCACAGGAGAGTTCGCAAAATCCAACGAGACGAAAGCGGAACTCCTAGCTAATGTTTTAAAATTTGAGTTTCAGCTGGTCCACAAGGCGCCGCCAATACCGCACGTTGTCGAAGTACAACAATCGGTAATGGCGGCATTGCACACGGCCGCTGACGAGCCGAGTTTCGCTACAGAAACTGAAGTCAAAGTGGCTATCCCGGAGCTGAAAACTAAAAGAGCTCCCGGCCCCGACGGTATCTCTAACGACTTTCTAAAGAAGCTGCCGCAGCAGGTCATAGTGTTCTTTTCTGTTTAATGCTATATTTATGTTTCAGCACTTTACGAGTCAGTGGAAACACGCACATGTTTAAACTTTTCACAAGCAGGAGAATAACTGAAATTGCCCGAGTCGTACAGACCCATAAACCTAAACACGCTCGGAAAACTGTGAAAACTCATTCAAAACCGAATTCTTAAATGTGTTTCAGATAATTCATTTATAAATAAGGAGCAGTTTAGCTTTTGTGCTGGTCATAGCACAACGCATCAGCTTCTGCAAATCACGGACCGCATAAGACGCAACTCCAACGAGGGCCGATTCACGGGTGAAGTGTTCCTCGACGTTGCCAGCGCCTTTGACAAGGTTTGGCACATCGGTCTCCTTTATAAATTTATTCCATGATCTTTACCTTGTACGTTGTGCACCTCTTCCACTTTTACCTAGCAAACAGAACGTTCCAAGTGACGCTTCTGAATGCTAAATCTACCCGCCGCGCCTTACGGGTTGGAGTGCCGCAAGGGAGCGAGATTGTCCCTACGCTCTTCAGCATCTATGTGTGTGATATTCCCACACACCCTCAAACACACACCCATAGCACGTCACACACAGTTTTTAACTGTTTTTGACATAAATAAATAAAAAAATCAACAATACAACTAACTTGCAGCAACTACACTTTTAGATAAACTGCAAGTAGTTCAAAACGAATGCCTCAGGGCCACCCTCTGGGCCCTTGATACATTCCTATTAAAAATTTACATTGCAATTTATTAATGCCACTGCTGATTGATCATATTAAAAATATTAATTCAATTTTTTTTTGAAAAAGCAGCTGACTCGGAAAACTTTCATTTCCGAGATTGTCTCATACCAACCCGATCAACGGGTGAAGTATAGGCGATAGAAACACTTAGATTTAGATTTATTTAGTCAAAAAAGCAGTAAAAACTGTATGTGACTTATGGGGGAGAAGATTATCTGGACACGTTTTCTTGAGTTCCAGAATCCCTTCCCGTCATTTTAACTATAAATAGTTGAAAGATAAGTAAAAGTTTGAAATAAATAAATAAAAATAAATTTTAAAAATTCGGGAGATTAACAATATGTGAAAAAAATTGACATTTTCTTTTCCGAGTTATAGAAAATTAATGTGCATCGGTAAATGAATTGCAAGTATGATTTTTCTGCATTGCTAACAAAATAGTAACTCGCCCTTACCTCTTCTCCTACCATTACAAGCAAAAGGAGAGTTCAACAAAACGTGCGCGTAGTGAAGCTACATTTGCGTCCAGAAGCAAAACAAGGGACCATCTCAGCATTTGATCCATGGATCAGGGAAACTTAACAAAAGCCTGATCGAGATGGGAGTCATTGACCCGGAAGCTGAAGTACATTATTTGTCACAAGCATATTAAGTCTTTTTGAAACATTTATACGATACAAATATAAACTAATTCATTATATATCACTATTTGGTTAAAATAAAAATTATTTTTCTTTTTGATGATCAGTATCGTCTCTAATTGTATAGAAACAGTTATGCAGCAGAAAAGAGTTTACTTTTAACTTAAATTTGTGAACCGACTTCAATTGTTTAATGTCATTTGGCAATGCGTTGTAAAGTAACGTACATGTATTGTATGTGGATTTCTGATAGTGATCTGTTAATACTGACACTTGATGAATGTGATTTTTACGACGTGTGTTGTAATTATAAATATCAGTATTGCATGAAAATATGTTTCTACTGTTAAGTAAGTCACTTTTGACAAATATTACAGATTCGTAAATATATAGGTAAGGCAGTGGTAAGATTCCAAGCTCAATGAAGCTTGCAGGGATCACGCAGATGGCATTTTTTTATTATTCGAATAATTTTCTTTTGCATTTTAAGGTCTGAATACTACATGATAAGTTTCCCCAGATTTTTATACTGTATCTCGGGTGGGAATGTACATTTGCAAAATACACGCAATGAGCTGCATGATGGCTGACAGAATTTGAAAGAATTCTGAATGCGTAACATAATGAACTTAAGTTAGTGTATAATTTTGTTATAAGAAAATTTCATTTGAGGTTTGACTGTATCGAATTCTTAGAGTAAAAGTAATCTGAAAGAGAGTAATGAGGCTCGAAACATAAACTTAGCAATTCTACACACGCAATGCGCGCGTTAGTTGGCTAAAGTAATTTTGACCTTCTGTTTTTCTTTACGTTGCAGGATTTGTCATAGATGCCCACAAGGGTAGGAATGGTCGCACCGCAGCGGCGTAAACGTGCATTGCACTTTCCGTGCGTTCACAAAACTGCACAAGGGCTCTTCGGGTACAGTACAGCCCTAAAGGTGGTTGGTTTTTTTGTTGTTGTTGTTGTTGTTTTTTTGTAAGGAAGAACTTGCTTCTAAAATTTCCAAGAATGAAGGGAAATAAATGTCAAATTTTTTGTTCTCTGATTTCAGGTTTTTTGTTTTACTGTAAATTAGTTAGAGACCTAGTCTTCATCATTTGAGATATCCCCATTATCCCAAATGGAATTTGCGCCACTCACAACAAAAACAAATTTTCAGAAGTAATTCACTTCAGCCCCTCCTGCTTCTCATCACTGGCCAGGTGTGACAGATAGAAACACAGTTATATGTATACATTGTTTAAACAAAGAGGAGCAGGAGCAGTAAAGATGAATACAAGTTAAAGAGCAGATGAATAGTTATACCACAAAAAAAATGAAATGGTAATTTGGTACAGTTAAAGGAAATGTTATGGAAGTGTATGACATACAAATTAAATAATTAGGATAATTTTGCACATCTGCATAATGTAGGAAATTATCTGTTCTTTTGCATCAGTGTTTACAATCATCCTGCTAAAAAAAATTCTGTACGATATAATGTGATAAAATTGTGTGATTATTTATTAAATGTGAATTTATTTTGTTTTGATACATCTGTGTCCATCCATGTTCCTTTACCTATTTGTATTTCATATTGCAGCAATTAAGACATAAGTTCAGGAAAATAAAACAAAAAAATACTAACAAAAATTCTGAAAAAAATAAAAAATATATCTGTATTTCTTTCCATTGTATTACAAGACATATTACAGAACAATGATATATAAAGTACTCATATGTTTATGATTTTATCTTTAAAATGAACATACAGCGTCAAAAATAAAAACGTAGACAAAAATATCTTGCATTGATGAGAATCACGTCTTAAAATGCGCTGTTAGCTCAGTCACCTTGTTCTGAATTGTCACGAATGTAATTCCTGAAACACATTTCACACAAATATAATGTATAGATAGAGAAACAATTCTGGCAATTTGAATACAGTAGTTATTTAATTACTTATATAATTACTATACAAAATAAATATTATCAAATATCTTACACAAAATAATTATAATTATTATTATCATTATTAACTTGATTGGCCACATTGAACCACTTGAGTCATTCCACTTCACTTTTACTGTTCATGGTCGACTGTCGAAGGTTTTCACCTTGAGGTGAGGATAAATCCTTGAGTTACAATTCTGAATGTTATTGAGAAAAGTGATAATGAGAGATGGAGGATGATGGATTATAGGGGGTGAAAGGACGAACACAATACAACCATGCCCGAGGCGGGACTCGAACCTGCGATCTTTCGGTACGAGATCGCTACGGCACTACTGCCTTAGCGATCTCGGCCACCGGATCGGCTACACAAAATATTTATAAATTGTGTTGTAGAAAATTTTATTTACACAATTGTAATGTGCTGTTTATCATGCAATTGTGTTTTTTCTTAACGAAATTTCACTTTGGAATTTCCTTACCACCTGATCTGTCATTTTTCTTGTATCCAGTTAATGATGCTTAAAAACATTAATTAGATATTAGACAGGTAATTAAGATTTATTTAATAACTGAAAAGTATTAATGAAATTTCACCCATTGAATTCAATGGATTGTGCTCCACCCTTACAAAAAGCTCGAAGAAAAAATATTTCCCCTGGGTAACTCGTACGCCTCGGATTCCAAAGCCAGTACTTTAAGATGATTATTCGAGTGTCAGAATGCTACGCTAACAAATCAATACTCTAGATTAAATGTTGGATTTCAGGAAGTAGATGATCCAGTTTCTTCCTACTTACTCGAAAATAGTTTTCGAGTAAAGTGGATTTAAAATTCGCTTCCGGGCGCGAAATTCAAACCGGCAGCCGCGCTACCGCACCGTCTGTTACCGCGCTGGGCGATATCTCTTTTCTCCGAATGATCAGAAAAAATCTCAAGTAATTAATTGTCTACAGGTGGGGGGGGGGTCTTGCGCATCATATCAGACTTCAGGCAATGAGCTTCTGATACCACTTTGCGCCACAATGTTAGTGGGAATTTTAAATGCAGCCAGATACCAAATTATCATCTCGTTGCAAGACATTGAAACAGATTTATGAAGCACTCCTTTTAAATATTGCACCTTTTACACTTTCATCTTGTTATTTTTGGTTGGTTACCGTTGAAAACCGTCACTTTATGCCAGTTTCAAAATGTCTCTTAACACTTCTCGCTCTCCATGCAACATAGCGGACAGCGTCTGGTCTGGCTTTTCAAACTAAGTGCCCGTGTTGTGGTCACGTGGTTTGTGACACAAACTGGTGTGCAGAAACAGCAAACATCGGTGCGCCGCGATAACTCACCCACGTTTTTTCACCATGATTGCCTACCAGGAAAACATCCCTTGCCACAATTATTGCGGTATATATTGTATATAATGGGTGACAATGAATTCACTCACACATGTAATACAATATTATCCGACTTTGGAACTTAGTAACCCGAAGAAGATATAAAAAAATAAGTAAGTCGATGTGCTGTGAAATGAAACAAATTTTATGTATTCATCAATTCAAATAATATGAAAAATCATTTAATAATAAATCTACTGTCTTTAAATAATTCTGGGAAAGAAATGTATAGTGCGAGACCAGATTAATTAAATAATGAAGTTTAATTTTGTTTGTAGCACAAATTAAAAATCTATATTTTATTCTTAGTGACCCTTGATTTTAGGATATTTTAAATTCTAAGTCGTACACATGTAATTATTAATATTTATTTTCAAAACATTAAATTGATACCTCTGAAAACACAGTTAACAATAATTTGAGACTGAACTACAGTCATTGATCAAGATTTTCTCGAAACTATCATTTTGTCTATGTGTTGTTGATCAGAAAAAACCTCTATTCCAAATGTCGCAGTTAGCTATGCACCTATCTCAGAAATGTTCTTATTCGAAGAAAATGTTCATTCAAAGTTCTGTTAACTCAACATATCATGTTCATGCAATTTAATTGCCTGAAAATAACCAAAGAATTATAATCTGTGGAATAACATAAAAACATGGATGATAATGTTGAACCACTAAAATTCTCTTAAAAGTGAGGGAGGTTTATAAATTATAAAAATGCGTTGATTGTAAAATTGGATTAGTTATAAAATTATATTGACTATAAAATTAATTTCTGGTCTGAACAATACAAACTGAAATAATGAGTTCATTGATTAATTGGATAAAATACAAATAAAACCAAAAAGAATAGTTTGCTTAATATTGCTATATATGTTATTTCTAGAATTTACTGATTATCATAATAGCAGGGGTTTGAGAGGCAGCCCCCAATAGAGCACTATTAACTTAGTAATACAGTAATATTATGACAATTAAATTGTAGTATTGAAGCAATTGTATTTTGTAAGTGACAGCTGGACAGATTTCTCTTTCTGAATTTTAAAAGGAAATGTTACACTTCATATGTAAGAATAATGTTTCCTACATTATATCAAAGAAACTCTTTTACGTCTGAACCATCTTAGATATTATGAATATAGTCACATCTGAATATTTGAACCACTCTTAGGCATTACTTGAGTTGTGTTTTTATTTGTTTATTTGTTTCTTTTTTTATAGAGTACTATTGCAAACTTAATTTACTTAAAAAACAGTAAACATACATTTGTTTCCTCTTCAGAGTCTCTGTCTCCCATTTTCTCAGCTATTTTCTTGAATTCAGTATCAATGAAGTTCAAGAGCTGATTTTCATATTTTTGGCGTTGAACATATTTGACAGCTTCCTGAAATTTTTTTAACCACACTAGTTGCAGATAATCAGAGAAGTACGTACATAATTAACATTTTATTGAAAGAACAAGTCCTCTACTTAAATACATGATGATATATTACAATAATACTAAAACGTAATCATATACATATTTATATTATTAATAATAATACATTATTAACAATATAACATTATTATTATTATTATTATTATTATTATTACGTTTATTATTATTATGTAAATCAAAATATTACACTTTACACATGATTTTGGAATAAGATTTTTAGAGCAATAAAAATGGCCGTTCTGTACGTAAAATTACTGTAGGGCAGACCAGGATTAAGTCTTTGTGATTTTCCAATTTCTTTTTTGAAAGAAAATAAAAGTCTGATGAAAAAGAAATGATCCATCTATAGAACGATGCTTTGGCTACATCATGTACATGATCTCATGTGCATATAACCTGTCAATGAGGTGGACTACAGAAAAATACAGAAAATGCAAAACTTGAGATCCCGAAATTTAAGATTCAATGCAGTCATCCAATCAGAGCAGAGATTTCATTTCATGATTATTAAATTTATGATTGGATTTTTTAAATAGTTATACAGTTTTCGAAGATTGGAAAAAAAAAAAATATTGTGGTTCTCTCAATATTTTTGGTTATAAAAATACACTTGACGTAGAATAGGAGAGTGGTGTTACGCTGGAAAAATCTTATTCACTGGAAAAGTTAAGAAAAATTAGGATTTTTATTTCCAAGGAATAATTATTTCAAAAATAAGAAATATTCATATTTGGAGGAACAATAAGAAACAGTGGTTTCACAAAAAAGGGAGAAAATCGCTTTTGAAATTTGGATTCTTGAATACTCTGATGTTGAATTCATGTCAATTTTATCTTGTTCTTAAAAAATATATTTTCATTTTCCTTGTCACACTTATTAAATGAATAGTACACAATACATTTTGAAATAATTGTGGGATAGCCTCACTAGTCCTGTTTACTTTCATGAATACTAATACAGAGCTTCTTAATGCCAAGAGGTGTAACTCCATTTTTTAAATATTTAAATTAGGTTGATAATCGTGTTCAACAAGTAACATGATGGATGTAGTTGTACTTCGCAACAGTGTTGGTAGGAAAACAAGTTGTTTTTTTTCTGTCAGAGGAGCCACCAGTTGAGAGGCTGAGTGGTATATTTGGAAATTGCACCACCACCTGTTTTGTTTTCTTAGTTCTCTGAATCAGTGCCAAAATGGTGATTGATTTACAATATTTTCTTTTCTGAGCTATTTTTATGAATATTTTGAAAAGGTTAAGACCTCATACTAAAGAAGCGCCCCCCCCTCCCCCCAAATTAAAATATCCGCTTCTAACACGCAGAGCCTCAGGCTCGGCCACATCAATTGAGTAATAACAATTTTGGAGAAAATAGTCTAAAGAATTTAGGCACTAGCATTGACCACAGACAGCCTGACACGCTTTGCTGTCAATCAATTTTTCAGTATCATGGACCTACAAAACATGGGTTCTGTCAACAAATCATGTTAGAAGTAGTTTACTAATATAGGAACAAGATATATCCACACAAGTTTTAACGTCCAAATATCACTTTTTTTTGCCTTAGCATTAGAATACATTCTCTACATGTCCTCTACATGTAAGTAGTATGTGAAGAAGTAAAATACAAGAACCTATTATATTAAATGAAGATAAAAGGATTACATTAAAAAGTAGGAATGTAAGACATCTAGAATGAATAACAAATTGCCCTATATTCTTTTTTAATAAAAGTCTGAAGCATACATTTTTGACATACCTCTCTTGGGACAAAATAATCCATGTTTCCATTCAGATACTGGGAATAAAACTCTTTGTTCTTAATCATGGTTTCTTCATTTGGAAAGAAGAGTAGGTAACTTTCAACAGCTTCACAAGCTTTCTGCAATTTACTAACTGTCATTGAACAAAATTATCATTAATTAATATTATAATTACTAATAACTTACAATTTACACAAAAATATTTTACATATATAACTAACTACTATAGCATTCATATGAACAGCTTTCAGACTGCTTGTGTATATTTGGAGAAGGTCATTCCCCCACAAGATGTGGCAAAATATTTTAGGGAAAGACATCCTATTGTTACCATACTTTTAGATTACAGAACAGAACGGTATGAATAGAATGCAAATCCCATCCAGTGATTCTTGTAAGCATCTCTTTATTAAGCTAGGGATTCTTCCATTGCCTTTCCTCTTGATATACAAATCAGTAGCTTCTGTAAAAAATTATACATTTTAAACTAATTCTTGCTCTTTAGTCGAAATAAAATTGCAAATTGTCTAATTGACTAGAAAGTTGTCTTGTGGATAAGAATGTTATAACTTACGCCTGAGCTAAGACTATTTTCTTGCTACTTCAAATCATCAAAATCATGGTTTTTGTCATTAGCCTCATCTTCACATTATTGTGTTTCTTTTTGGCCCTCCTCTCACATTGCAATTCCTTTGGCGTTTTGGACCACTCAAAAGTTTTGCGCGATGGATTTGCCATTTTGGTCATTCAAATAACGGCACCTAACAATATTTCCTTCTGTATCCCCAGATTTTCTTAACGGCTCGGTCTTATTGTTAGCGTGGGATTCTTTAACATTCTTTAATATAATATTCTTAAAATTCACGTCGTTTATTGTCGATGTGGTGGAGTTGTGAACTGCGAAATCCTGCATCTCTGTTCCTCCGTTTCGCGGGTAACGATGAATATAGCGGCAAGTTCCCAAATTTGGAAAGTTTTCGCTTAGCAAATATTTATCATCCTCTTCTGTGGTCGGATGTAGGATGCATAGTACGAACTTATATCAATGTGATTTTTTTTCATTTCGCTCTCTTGCGCAGATTCGCAGTCACCAAGCGTCGAACCGACAATCCGCGCGGCCTGGTCGATCTCGTAACACTCATCGTGACACGAAATCTCAGCAACATTTTCATTCATTTTCACTTTGCGTTTCACTCAATACAATCCTCTTCGTTGGAGATTCTTCCCATTACTGGTCCATTTAAAAATTTCGGTCTGAATCGCCCGGCAAATTCGTGGTGAATGCCGAGAATAAGACCGCAAATATAATTACGTATTATAGATATCCGTGATATCGTATTCGTCTTCGCAGCTTATTGTTACGCCAACATTTACGAGATTCGTGACACGGAAATGCAATATCCAAACGTAAATTGTAACCAACTAAGCTTAATTAATTTGGGAATATAAGTCGACCCCCGATTTTTCGAATGATACGTATAGGGAAAAACGCGTTTATATTCGGGTAATTACGGTGGTTATTCAAGGTATCGTTCTCAATGTTCTCTCTGGCAGTACGTCGATTCTTCACGTCAATTCTTTCACGAATGCTCTCGTGGCTCATTGGCGAAGTCGCTTGCCTTCCACTATTCCCGTAGAACATCATGTGAAATTTGTTACGACAAAACGAGTTTGCACGCTTCACAGGGGCTAGTCCAACCCACTGTGAAGTGTCCTAAACCCTACCCCAATCCTAATTCCTTGCCAATTCTGGCCGCGGAGTAGTGACGCAGGGGCACGTAGTAGGAGGCGCGTACGCGGAAATGCTTCTTGGCGTTCTTCACAACTGACTGCGACGAGACATGACGGATATGCCAATGTTTATAATTAATGGAGAATTTCTCCCGCGCTGGTATTAATGGAGGATTACTCCGGAAGCGCTCAACTCCCCCCGGGGCTTGGGAACGCGTAGTGTCAATTGACGACGCAACAATTAAAAAAAAAGGGGCACGATGAGACAACCAAAATCAATAGCTGATTTATCTTTGCACAGTTTTTGTTTCAGGGGAGCTAATATTTTCTCATTAATTTTTTATAAAAAAAAAACAAACCCCGTTCGTTTCCACCAGTATTCATAATTCAACTTGTTTATGAATTAGGGTAAGAATCACAGAATTTAAGAACAAAAGAATTTAAGTGCACAAAATACGTTTTTTCCCATAGTACGTCAAACAAATTTTAACTGTTTTTGACGTTACATAAATAGTTATCATTTGTAAAGCTTCATTCACAAGATGGACAGTTGGGCCCTCAACGCGAAAGTCCAGTTCAGTTTAACAGAATCATAATAATATTTTCTCTTTTAAACAATTTGAGCAAATTATTCCGGGCCCGGAGCTATGAAAGCGGTGATGTTGAAGGTCGAGAGGGAAGAATGAAAATGGCTGCTTTCAAGAGGCACAGTTTTGAAATGACTTCTATGTTTCTCAAATCTTTAGGGAAATTGTCACTGAAATTTCTCATGCAGTTGCCGCATCGGCTGCAAGCGATAGAAACTAATTACCCACACTCTTGATCTCGTTCTTCTACCAACAATGATACAACCTGTTCCTGTGACTACTTCTTTGAGTTGACTACGTCTCTCCTTCCTCATAGATATATTTAAGAGTTAATGCTGGCAATAGTTCATTTGGCATCCTTTCCTAATGTTTGCACAATTTCTTCACATATTAGTAGATATTTTTCTAACGGAGGCGTAACATTAAAATCTTTTCTTATATCCACACCTTTCTTTTATCTAGGGGGTGTATGTATTCTAGAGCGCTTCGTAAAAATGTAATTTCTGCCACCTGAATTTTACTTTAATCCGTTACCAAAATTCCTTTTGATTTACTTCCACACACTAGTACAGGGATAGCAATAGTATTAAAGAACTGTACTCGGTATTTTTACGTGTTTTGATTTATTAAATTCCTGAGGATGTGTATGTATGTATGTATGTATATACACATACAATGGATGTTCAGGCCCAGGATAGATGTCATAGAATTGAACAAACCAGAAATGTTCACATTTATAGGTAATTGTGGCTCACATTTATAGCTCCATAATGGTGTTAACATATCTTGTTTCTTGATATTTAAATATGAATTATTTTTTTATTGGCTCGCCATGAAATGACCATGGAAGAAATTTTTTGAAATATATATTATATATATATATATATATATATTTATATATATATATATATAACTTGTTTTGATAAATAAATAGAGATATTGTCAGGTATTCAATATTTTAATTCACAATTGATATTTCGACCGCGTAGCGATCATCCATGCAGGCTAAAAACAATACAATTACACATGTGAATATTAACAGGTTGGTTATTGTATACAAGATGCGTAAGAAACTGGGATTGTAGCGGGGAGCGGCAGGGGGCGGGAAGAGGGGGTGGGGGTGGGTTAGGGGTGTACACTTTGTACACTAAAGAGGTGTACACTTTGAACACTAACCACCCCTTGCCCTCCACCCATAACCTTCGCTGCCCGACCGTCTCTCAAGCATCCACCAGCACCGCACGTTTTATCGACCTTCACCGTACCCACCCTCTTCCCGCCCCCGCTGCCGACCGGCTGTGCTCTTAACCAAGACAACACGCTCAAAAATTCGCAGAACTTTGTTTTCGGCACAGAAGCTGCAAGGTATGTACAATCCAGTTTGCTTACGCATCTTGTATACAATAACCAACCTGTAATATTTCACATTGTATATTTGTATTGTTTTTAGCTCTGAGGATGATCGCTACGCGATCGAAATGATCATTAGTTGAATTAAAATATTGATACCTGACACTATCTTATTTATTTAATATAAATAAAAAAGGTATCTACTTCACCAACAATCCAATTAATATAAACTTGTCTTTGCTACCATGCACGGTCGTCAGCAATGCTTCTTCTCTTCATTTCGTGGATTAGGAAGGGCTGCCTATTACGGAAACCATCTTCTCGGATGACCGTTGCTCCTTCGGCCAGCTGGTTTGTAGTGCCTTGTCAGTCGAGGAATTCGGCTCCTCCTCATTTCAATATCACTGATCTACTTCTCAACACTAAATTTCTCCAATTCTTTACGTATTTCTTCACTCCTAATTTTGTCATCTAGAGCTCTTACAGACCAAAGAAATCTCATTGCTGCGCTCTCATTCTATTTATTTCTCTTGTTGAGAGGGTCCAGGTCTCGCTTCCATATATAACACTACAGACACTGCCATCGTCTCATAGAACTTAAGTCTGGTTTCTTTCTTGTTTTATGTTTCAGGGTTCTATGAATTGTCCCACAGATACGTTTAAGCCTGTTTAATTTACTTCATGACGTCGTCGTCAAATACAAAAGATACTTCACATCCCAAGTAATTAAAACTACAGTCTTCCCATTCAATACTATTTTTGATCTGACAGGATAATTTCCATGAAAAACCATCACTTTAGTTTCATTAGTAGATATTTTAAGGTTGTAATCTTCACATATATTTTGCAATATATACAAGTACATCCTTCTTTGTTGTATGTTTTCGGCTTGCTGAATATATACCACATCATCTGCATTAGCTTTGCAGAGGCCTCATCAAAATCAATACTTAAGACTACTAGGCCTATTTCTAAAGACTTGGTGCGCGCGTGGTTTTTTCATGTCGCTAATTTCGTTCTGTGGCACTAGATAATGCACCTCTGTAATAAAGGCACCCGAACGAGTTTCACTTCATCGCATTATGTAATTCATTTTTCCAGAAATCACGTACATATGGGATACTATAAAATAATGTGTGATATTGTAATACACACGCACATTTACATTACACATGCACTCAACGATACTCTTCGTTCATGCAATTTTGCAACAAAAAAAACAAGAAAAACAAACCTATACGACCATAAGCATTTATGAAATAATTCAAAACGTGAAAATAAAATATCAGTAATTCGCTATCTTACCTTTATAATAGGAATATTGTAAATAATGATAATGGCTTGGCAACATATCTTCATGGTATTCTCCGTTCAGTGAGTTGAGAGGCATTTCGCATTTCTGTTTACAGCGTAAGCAAAATGTGAAGTGATCTGCAAATTATTATTTACATGTAAAGTAAAATACTGTAATTTTAAAATTCAATTCAATTCTATACAATTGTCTGTTGTAATTAAAATCAACTTAAAAAAACATTATGAATAGGGTGAGATAGGAATGTAGCCAATGTTTGCACACCACAGTATTTACTTTCTCGTATACGCACGTATATACGAGTACTTTGTATAGAGAAAGTTATGTAATGCTGCGAAAAATCGATTTCGAGATTTCAACGGAAATACACGTCTTGGAGACCCCTGATACCAAAAAAGGGTTCTTTTTTTACACGTCCGTCCGTCTGTCATATGTGAACAACTCTAGCGCCTATACTATACGCAGAATTTATTCCTAACTGAATAAAGCCCGGTCGATCTGGCCTCACTCAAAACTCCACAATTTGAAAAACATTCATCAATATTTGGGAGTACTTTACACGAAGCCCATAGGACATATTCACGATTTTCTCAAAAACGGCTTCAAATTTTCTCTTTAAATTTCTTGTAAGAATAGAGTGAAATGCACTTATAAAAGTGGCATAGGTCCGATTTTCATTGTTGAATCTGGATTTTAGAAAATTGCAAAATTTTTAATTTTTCGGCGTTTCAAGTAAAATTCTTTTTCTATAATTAGTTCTTTCATTAAGGTTCTGTACATTATTTAAATAATTTCTGTAGTTTGGTTGCAACTTGTGCAATATTAAAAAATGAAACAAACGTTTCTCAAAAATGGCTACTGCTGCTTAAAAGGATATTGCTGCAATATCTTGAATATTGAATGTCATTAAAAGGAAAATGTATATTCCTAAGATATTAAGAGATATTTTTCGATTATATCTGGGGGTTGTGCAACCGTGCAACCTAAGCACATGACGCCACTGTAGGAGCTTTTTTCGAACTTTCGGCATTTCCTCCCTGGACATTCTGGACAAGATTTATCAATTTTTTCGTTACCAGGTCGCAGCTATAAGGATTTTGCTATAAGAAATTCGCCGTTTTCCGGCGCACGACTACAATTCGAAGAAAGAGAAAGTAAAAATCAAACCTTTAAAATGTATTTATTTACGTCAAAAACAGTGTGTTACGTGCTATGGGAAGAAGTTAATTTGAAGAAACATTTATGTCCAAAAGCAAAACGAGAGGCCATCTCAACATTTGCTCGAGGATTAGTGAAACGGGACGAAAACCGGATCGAGATGGGTGTCATTGAACCAGAAGCTGAAGTACAATAATTGTAACAGGTTCTTTAGAATTATACAATCCAAATAGTATATAATACATTAAATGCCATTGTTAAAATAAATATTACTTTCCTTTGGGTGCTGGGTATGGTCTCTAATTGTATAGAAACAGAAGTAGCAGATGCAGCAGAAAATATTTTACTTGGGACAAACTTTTGTATCGAATTTAATTGTTAAATGTCATCTGGCAAGGTGTTGTAAAATAACGTACATGCATTATACGTGGAATTTTTGTTGTGCGCTGTTGATACTGTCACATGATGAATATGGATTAATACATCGAGCGTTGTAGTTATAGACAACGGCGTTTGCTGAAAATATATTCCCGCCCTTAAGTAAGTTATTTTTGACAAAAACCACAAATTAATATATCGAGAGACAAGGTAATGATAAAATACCAAGATTAATAAGGAAAGGCTTACAAGAATCACGTGGGTGGGATTTGCTTACTATTCGTACAATTCTTTTTTGTAATCTAAAGTCAGGGAACTATAAGATGTATTTCTCCAGAATAACATGCCAAATCTCAGGCGGGAATGAAAATTCACAAAATATACACAACGAGCAGGGTGGAGGCTGACTGAATTTGAAAGAATTTGGAAAGCGTAGCATTAAGACTTTAATTTAGTACTCAATTCATTTAAATGGATGTTCCATTTAAGATTTGACTGAATTGAAAGACCTAAAAATTTTGATACCTTAAGATCAGTCAATGGCACACCGTCTGTTTATTTGAAATGAAAACTATTGAAACCGTTTTCTTTTCATTTACTATTAATTTGTTATTACGGAACCAAATTGAAATAACCGATATTGTACAATTTACGGTTTCTTTATCGCTAAGAATATTCGTATCATCGGCAAAGAGAACTGTTCTTCCGTTTTTAATCGTCGAGAGCATATCATTTATGTCTAGTATGAAGAGAATACGACCTAAAATCGATGCGAACTGCGGGACTCCACATGCAATTGGCGAAGAATCAGAAAGGTGTGTACATAATGTTCCATTATTCCAGTAAGGAATTTCTGCTCTCTGAGATCGTTGTTTAAGTTACAAACATAACCAATCTAGAGCAACACCACAAATTTCATCCAAGGTAATTTTGAGAATAAAATGTTATGATCAATGACGTCAAAAGCTCTTGGAAGATTTAAAAATATTGCAATAGGTGCTTCGTTTTGATCCATGGATAAGGCGACATCTTTCAGAAAAGGAAACATGGCCGTAGATTTTGATTTTCGAAACCCGTGTTGGCAATCTGAAAACGCGTCGTGTTTATTAAGAAAAGTTTCCATTCGTACGTAAAAGTCCCACTATAACTTTGAAAAAACCGACAAAAGAGAGATATGCAGATTATTTTGAAATTAACTTTGTTGCCTCTTTTGAAAATGGGCTTAATCTTACCTGTTTTAAAAATATCTGGAAAAATTCCTGTGCATATGGATACATTAAATATCTGAGTTAACGGGTATATAGTGGCGGGCGCGCAAACCTTTAAGAAAAATCCGGAAATTCATCTAAACCGGCCGAATATTTATTTTTTAGTCTACCGATTATTTAAAGAATTCCATAGTAAGAAGTTTCGGAAACAAACATCGTGCCTAAAATTTTGGGGGAAACGTCTGATGCTGAATTTTGTGGCTGAGGACCCTTGGCAGCAATTCTCGAAAAGTATTGGTTAAAGAGACTAGCCACTGTTGCCGGGTCGTTAACATTTCTATCGTTATCTTTTAAAGCCATTCTCCACAAAGTTTCTAGTTGATTTGGTCGAATGATTTTATTCTGCCGTGCGACTTTTCTTAACAATGATTTGTATATTTTAAAGTAGAGGAAAGCTTGAGGTACGTTATGATGCTTAGAAATGAAAGTAAGAATTCGTTTGTTTTTATATGATGTCCTGATCCCTTGTGTTATCCAAGAATTGCTTTTTCGTGAAATATTTAATTTTCTCTTTTGAAGAGGAAAGCAAGTATTAAAATGAAATGAAAGATTTGGAGGAAAAAAAATTGTATTTATCGTTTGTATCAACAGCATTGTAAACCGCATTGTGATGTGCACGTTTGTTTTAAATGTGATGCATATTTTTTTTTAAGAAAAGAGTAGTTTTCGCTTAATTTATGCTTGAATTTAAAGCAATTTATAAAAAAAACCCTCAAAAACTGCTCCGAATTGAGTCCATTTTCCACAGGACAAGGCACGCTTAAAATAACGGCGTATGTCTATTTTTCGTTGAAATCTCAGAAATTTCGAAAAATACAATAATAATAGTAGTCTTCATAATACTAATAATAATGCAAAAACGTATGTGCCGTTGCAGCACCAGTACTTTAGGTGGATGAATAATTGTTTTACGTGTGTGCCACCGCTGGAATTTAGGAATTGTATTCAACTCAATTCATATCTCTCAAACCCAACACTCACTGGAAACCATGCTGGATACTCGGATTTCCATAAAATTGCGCCAGCTGGTACAACGCCAAGCAAAACCCACAAATCCAAATTTTTATGTGCTATGGGGTATTAGAAATACTGTTTGAAAGGTGTTTTGCATCACGACCGTTCGTGACGTCTGCGCCTCCCGCAGTGGACAAACACTTTCATCGGCAGCTTTTAGTACTTAAGCGATTATATTTACAAGTTTTGAAAGATACTGAAAAAGCTGGTAAAATTTAATGTTAAACCAAGTATCCAGCACGGCGTGCGTTACTTGTAAGATCTGAATCCGATGTGCCCACAATTGTCCTCTGAAATTTTCAATATGTAAAAGTCATTTATAGAATAAATTGGATTAGTCAAAATAATGTTTTATTCAAGATTCCATTCGATTTCATCAAAGCAAGGCAATTTTTAATTCAGTATCTTCCACTTAAGCGGAATTACATGGAGTCAATTATCACACAATTTGGGTAAGCGGTATGTATACTTACTTGATACAGAAGATATGAAATCCGGGAACCAGCCTTGATCAAAAGGCGATTCACAATATGCACGGCACTCCTCAGCCGCACGTAACCATTTTTTCAAAGACTGTTCAAGTAAATTAATAACAGAAGCAAAATCACCTTTATTGTAGGCTTCCACTCCCTGAATATATAACGGCACAAAAGCCTGTAATAATTTTTTTTGATTAGTTATTTCATTTAACTTGAACTATTCAATTTCCATTTAAATACAGTGATTCATGTCACCTTCATGAACTCTTCACCAATCGGTTTGTAACTAATTAAAGCAAAATATCCCACGTTCGTTTTTATCGCAGATTCACGGCGAATTTTAAAAATTATTTTTGTATGAATAGTGAAACATTGTCAGAGACAATGTATAAAAGGCCATCCCGCCGACGCTTGAAGCTGCGTCTCTAAGGCCAACGGATCTAACAGACGCAGACCCCGGGTGTTGCTCGTTGTTTTTCTGAACTTATGAAATGGAATTTAAAGCATAGATCAACGCAGGCCGCAGCGAGGGATGTTTTTCACAACTCTCTGCTTCGATTCCGCCGCGTCCTCGTTCGGTCAGAGTTAGGAGCCTAGGAATTTCGCCGAAGAGTACGACAGTGGCGGAGACCCTGGAGCAGCAGAACCGCCACGAATCGTTCGGAGAACTATGTTGTACCGGACAGCCAGAAAGTCACGAACAATACTGTATACAGGTGAGCGAGAAGTTTAGAAAATTTGAAATTGATAGATTGATACAATATCATTTATGAACAAATAAATATGCACATTTCTTTAAAATTGTATTTCGCAATAAGCCTTCCAAATAATGAGATGTTTATATTACTTTATTTTAGTCGAACGTCCTTGGTGTATTTATTGTTTTTGCGAGCAAACAATTTAGGTCTCAGTTCTAAAGGGAAGAGTAGGGAGGCAAGGTTGAGGCAGCAATATGACTCGTAGGTACTGGTATCGAACGCTTATGGACATATTGCCTCCCTAGAGTTTGTCTTTTTTTAAACTTTAGTTGCACAAAAATCTATAAAATGTAAGCCAATACGCTCTAAAATATATTCAAATTACTATTTGATAGATTTCGGGAGCGTCAACGGCTATCATTTGTCCCGTAAGTGTAGTGCATATTTTATCGGCTGTGATCTTCCCCCACTGGACGGAGAGATCCTGTGCCGACCTACATGTCGGGGTGCGGCACTTCCTTCCCCAACCATCAGCGGGGCACAGCCCAAGTCGGGACAAGCTCTACGCTCCCGACTGGTCTCCCGGCATGTATAGTAGTGTTATTGAGTACAAGTAAGCGCAATTTTTTTAATTACTACGAAATGTATTATACTTGTACATATTCATCAGGGTAGGCATTGCCCACCTCGCCTACTACAAGAAGACGCCGCTGCCTGTCAAATAAACTGCTAATTCATGTACTCCCCTCTACAAAAGATTTTAGAAATTGAAATGGATAGTTAATCCAGTTTCAAATATAGAGTTCGAAATTCACAGTATTACCCTAATTATTAACTCACAGTATTAGGTTGAAGCGGCCGAACTGCGTGAAAAATGTAAAAAATACATGTAATTAATCAAGTGGAATGGATTACTTACTTTTATTTCCAGATTCTCTATTGCATTCATATTCACTTCCGGTAGACTACTGTAGAATTTTAAATTATTTATCATCGCATTTTCTTCTGGATTAGCTACCAGAGCAGTAAAGGCGGCAGAAGCTGCTTTTTGTAGCATCTTTTTCTGAAAGAAATAATTGGAATTTGCTCTATATTTAAACAAAGATACAAATAAACTTAATTTATAAATTATATATATATATAATATATATCTATACTATATATATAAGTGACGTCATGGCTACTCACAGCGAACAGAACAGAGCTTTTATATAAAATAATTTTTAACAAAGAAAAAAAACAATATATACATTAATTTCTACTTACACCTATGCTCTGACAGACTATATCTGATGTGACGGGAGGCGATCAACCGATTGGATGATCGGTTTAGAGGTGGCATTCGCACTCCTACTTTGAGCGCGCACAAGAGCTAGCTTCCGGTGACGGGATTACACTGGGACACAAGTCGTTCTGGCCCCGCACCAAGGGCTGGTTTGCCTCGATCGCAGGGAGCGATCTTATCCGATTGAGCATCGGCGTGAATCGTTGGGCACTCCAAACAACTCTGCACCTTGGAGACACACACGCATCGGTCCCACGTGACGCCAGTCACCAGGACAAGGTCTCGCAGCCTTCGTCAACGACTCGTGCTTGCCTCGCGAGCCTGGTCGCTATGCACCGTCGTGGGCCAAAGTTTTGTGCACTGACGAAGGTTCTCCCACTGTCTCCAGAACCCACCCACTGGCTCTGTACACTTCGTTATATATGCTAGGCCCACGTGACCTACTACGTCACGCCACCCCCCACCCCTCGCTTGTTATAACGGTGAAAGGTTTCTAAAGGCTGGAAGACCCCATAGCCTTGTGTCTCCCGTTTCCGCGTTCTTGCCTTTACGGAAAAACCCTTCTTTCCGTCCTGTGGCGAGGCTAATCCTCTACCAAGCGTCCCCAAATAGTTCAGTTTTCAGTTTCAGTTTTTTTTATGTTTTATTTGTTACAATTATATTTAGTTACCATCTTTCGAATTTCCAATTAATAAAGGCGCATGTAAGTACCAGCCCGTCCGCCGTTTGTTTGTCCCACCCACTGACAGTCCATTTGCCAGTCCGACTGTCAGTGCCTGCCTGTGTGTACGCGAGACTGTCCGTGCGTGTCAGTCTACCTGTGTCTCTTCGTGTGTGCTCATCTGTGTCTATCCGTCAGTACGACTGTCTATCCGTCAGTAGATCTCTCAATCCGTCCGACAGTCGGTCGGTCCGTCAATCATTCTGACCGTCAGACAGTCTGTCCCTCCGTCAGTCTATCCAGCTGTCTGTTCTTCCGTCAGTCCATCCATCATCCTGTCCGACCGGCAATCTGTCAGTCTGTCGGTTCGACGGTATGTCAGTCTATTGGTATGTCAGGCCGTCAGGTCCGATCCTGTGTACACGGCCGTCTTTGAGTTTAAAATCGCAATAGATTATATTTGAACTAAGACAAAAATGTTTAAAGAGAAAAAAACGTTGAATTTGATTGTTCCATTTTTGAAACAGTGAGCTTAAATGTGGAAGACAAACGTATGACCCATTAAATTTCCCAGTTTGATCCAATCCACAAAAGTGGAGGACTTGTATGTAGTACTATGTCCAAGGGTGGATTTCCCAAAAGTTGAGTTATTGGACTGTTCACAAACCTACTTGAAGAACTCATATGCAGAATTCTGTCAAGAGCCTTAGACTGAAAAATCTGGAACAATGCTTCTTTAAAGAATTATTCCAATTTTGTCACCTTAAAGTCACTATATCTTACATAAAGATCAGCAGTAAAACAGGCTAAGTCTCTCAGTCTTGTCTGTCAATGGAATAACTTTATTTTTAAAATCGAAAGATTTAAAACATTTGTACCCAATTGATATAGTTGTTTCTAACACTACCAAGGGAAAATGCCGAACTGGAATATCTGGAAAATTGTATTCCCAAAGTAACACCTGCAAGCGCCTAGTCTTTTACTGATAAAGTAGAAAGGTGGTGTGAATGGCCACTTACTTTTACGTATACGAAACAATACAAGAAAATTGTGTTAATTCAAATGGGCCCGAGAAGAAATTGGTCACACAAATTTAAATTACACACAAGAAAATAAAAATAAAGATGTGAAAGAAGGAACAGGCTTGATGAAGCAAAACCTAAATAATGAAACAGCAATATAAGAAACTGACATGACATGTGTGACACACCAAAGACATTCCTTAAAAACCCTTAGGGTACTTTATCTGGTGGAAGTGTTAGCAGCATGAAAGACTAATTTCTTCCTTTCTAAACACCCATTATTTTAGTCAGAGAATATGAACAGGCAAAGAAAAGAAGATCCAAAAGACAAAATTCCAATTGATGTGATATATATGCAAATGCAAGATCACAAAAATAATAAATAAGATTAATAGCAAAAAGTATGAAAAAATTTAAACCACACAAGCATGAATTCTGAAAAAAGATCACACAGATTACTAAAAAGCACAAGCTGCCAGAGAAAATTGATAATCATGCAAAGTTATGAGTTTTGAAGAAATAAACAATTCCAGTGTCATCGAATGAACAATAGATGGGGAAAAAAAGAGGGAAAACATTGAATCAGGGACTAGAATTGCTGATGCCAGTTTACATGAGGAATCACACACTTATAAGGAAGAAGTAGAATACTCAAATGGAAAAGAAACTAAACAAGGAAATGAAAAAATAAACTTGTATAAATGGTGATTTTGTTCTAGTTTCTTTTCTTGGTATGAAAATATTGATTAATTATATTTTCATCATTCAACAATTATGTCCATTTAAGAACAATGAAAATGAAATCATGAAATCTGAAAACTTAACAGAGAAAAAATTATTTCAAGCTGATGAAAAGTGTTAGTCACATCACATATGATTATTGATATAGTCTTTTATCAATCTCAATGTCACTGATGATTATCTGAAATATGAATAATAACACTGTATTATGAAAATTTAATTTACTTTCTAAACAACATTGGGATTTTATATGTGCTAAAAACTAATTACCGCTTGAGTCACCTACTGAAAAATTTGTCTTAATTTTGTCAATTGCTGATTTTGATCTCAATTCTTTAATTATTTTTAATAATTGAATGTCATATAACGTTTACAATTGCAATACATTCCAAAACTTAAACTTACAACTGGATTAATTTTACTTTTATTGGTAATTTAATTGTACTCATAGAATTCAAACGCACAGTTTCATTCCTTAAAGGGCATATTATCAGTACTTTAATCTTAATGGTTTGAAACTAATTTTTTTAAAGAAAAATGAATAAGTATGAACTATCTTTTCATATTATTGAAAAAACAATAGAAGAATTTGCTGAAATAAAGAATTTTGCTTGGACAAAAATGATAATATTGTATTCTATATTGTTAACTTAATTTGGAACAAAATCTTATCAAGATGAACTGAACTGTTTTAAAGTACCAAAAATTATAATATTCCGCTTGTTGAAGCTTTAAAACTATTTGATTAGCTGATTAGAAATAATGAATAATCAGAGAGAAATTCTCAATCTTCAAAACTATTTCAAGGGAAAACTTTCTCATATTTTGAATACAAAATTCAAAAGTGTACAAGAACAAATTTTTCATTAACAGTTTTTGATGAAGTAGCAGATGATGTAGTGATCAGTGACAGAGAGAATTTCAAAATCCAAATTTATCTTTCAATCATTGACACTTTAATACATCACAAAGTAATGTTTTTCAGCTCTCAAAAATATCATTAATTTTCTTCCAGTTTTCAAACAACAGATATTGCAATCTAAGTCAGTTCTTTTTCATCACTGTAAACATTCTTTTCATGTAAACTATAAAAATTATTCAATAGAATTAATTTATATAATGTATTTATTATTATATAATTAATATTACATATCATTAAAGTAGTTTATTACATACGTAATTAATTCAAGTAATGCAAATAAACCAGTAAATAAAAAAATGAGAACTATGGATAAAACTGATCTGGTGCTCTATAAATATTATTCCTTAATTCCAGGGATAGGCTAAGTACTTTAAATGTAGTATTTAGATACTTCACCAAAATACTTTATAAATAAGTATTTAAATACATACACAAAATACATGAGGACATGACATGTTAAATACATGTGTTTAAAATACTTCAAATTCTCAAAATACTGTAAATATATAATAATTCTGCATCATATATTTTTTATTACAGCAATATATTGTAATTGTTAATTACAATAAATTAGTAATTGACAGTCATAAACATTTCTTTATAATAACTATTTTAATATATTGTAACAATATGTATAAATATTCTCAAACACAAAATAATAATATAAAAATATGTTTAACATAAAGAAATGGAATTTCCTTTTAAAATGACTAATTTTTCAAAGTCATCATCAGACAATAAACCCTAGTTGGAGAATGAATAAAATCTGCCCAGGAAAACAGTCATTCAACTGGTGTGGATGAACATAAACAAGTGTTATAACGAATAAACATTGTTTTGTCGGATAATTGTCCAGCATTGTTAATGATTTAGATTTATCATATAAAAATGAAGTAAATCCAAATTTAACAGCTGAAAGGAGCAGTTATTTTTGTTTCAATGAGGAGCATTCACTAGGCGAATCAAACAAAAAGAAACTATCCTTGTTCTAAACTATCTTCTTCTTCAGCTGTATTTAAAGTATTTTAAGTATTTCTTTTTTTATATACACCTACTTAATGTATTTAAATAAATCTCTAAAATGCATACCCAAAAAACTCAAAAATACAGTTTTGCAAATAAAAATGAATTTAAAATATGCATTTCAAATACAAGTATGTAAATATTGGCAGCTATGGTGCAACGGTTAGCGCATCGGACTGTTATACCCAAGTTAGCGGGTTCAAACCTGATCGAGGCCGTGGAGTTTTAAGGGCAAAAAAAGCCTTTGTTTGCCTTCCTTTAGAGGGGAAGTAAAGCTGGCTCTCCCATGTTAGTAGATTTACTTGCATTTAAAAGATCCTCTTTGAGACAAATTCAAATCATCTGTTTCGTCGCCCAAGAAATACCTGCTTTCTTTGCTAGTGGGTGAAAGGATCGTACCGTAATTTGC